GGGGGCTCGCGGCATTTAGCCCCGGATATATATGTCGTCTTAAAAGAGGAGCCCCGGAAATGCAAAAAATGCGAGCCCCCGTAAATTTGCATAGAGTTCAATGCAACCAAATTTTAGAGTGCTATTTTCATGCACGCGAAGCTTGAAAAGTAGACCCCGAAAAATAAATTTTATTTTTTCCTGATCTACTCTTGATATATATATATATCATGTGTAATAGTGATATTATGTCTCTATGTGTGGCAATCAGGAGTCATCATATCTAATATATCCTATTATATATATTTGTGCATTTTGTAGCAAATTGGAGAGGCTCAAAGACTAACTTAATGCCTGCCTCTCTGAGACATTAGCTATGCTAATACAGAACCACAAATGTACGTCTGCTATTATTTTGTTATAAATATTTGCCTCGGTAAAATGTTAACTTTAAGAATTGGGATGAATGTCAAAGACTTATCAATCTTTATCGATCACCTCACAGTTGAACTTATTGAGATGATGAAATTAAACCAAAAAACATATAAGAACATGGCGAAATAAGCTATAATTTTCTTATAATTTACAGAAATGTTAGAACTAAAAGTACAGCGTAGTACTGCATGAGGCTAACACTAGTTGCATTTCTACCCCAGCTGTTGCAATCATTGCATGCTAACAATGTCGTGATTTCTCTGTAAGATGCGACTTCACCTTGTCTTTCCTAGACAATATATTGGTTGATGCGATACGCTGAAGCGTGCTGCCCCCTATGTACACCCAACCTCCGGACGCAGACCGACGCAAGTGATCAATGAATTCACTCCAGTTACGCGCCGATGTTTGAAGAAAGCATATTAAAGTCCGTTGTAGCTCAGCTGCTGGTGACGTAGACAAACAGAGCTCTTAAATCGGGTATGTCTGGGAACAAGCTCAGCTCGCAGAAAGTGGGACGTAGGCATGCGTTAGTTGGGCAGACCAGCGAGTCAGTGTGCACTTAGCCTGCTATGGGAGGCGCGTCAGTGTCTAATTTAATTAGCTTCATCTGACATAGTCAGATGCAGCTTGTAGACTGCTTGTATCGTCGTTCGTCCGGTCGTCGTCGTCCGGTCGTACGGTCGTCCGTCAACAGTTGCGCACAATCTTAACCGCTCGACGTACGGTACGCATATGTCGCGTCGTTGGGGGGATCGATCAAAACGAGTTGGATGTCGTAAGACTTGGGCGGTCAAGGTCAAAGGTCAAGAAGGTGTAAAAGAAGGGGAACATTCAACTCGCTTAACTTTAGGTATAGGGAGGAAATGGCAGAATTGCGGGCAAAATTAAACGGCTCGACCTAGCTGCTGATGTCGGTGTATAGCATCATGGTAGGAAAAGCCATCACTTGTGCCGAAATTGGAGGTCACAGGCAAGGTCAATGGGGCCAAGGAGCAGATTTTAGGACCATTTTCCTGGAGGACATGGTCTGACGGATGCGATGGAAACTTTTTGTTTCAGCGTGACCTCTCATTTTTATGCGTTTTTGAAAGGAACCATGAAATGTGCTTCAGCTGGACGTGGCGAAGAAGTAATGTCTGATTAACCTTTTGACCTCAAGAGAGAGGGTTAAACATGGATTTGCTGACTGTCTGTTAAAAGAATTTGACTGCCGGTTTGCAGTAGAATCTATACATGCCTGGATGTATGAGGCTACAATGTCCACAGTGGAAATTTCAAAGCTGAAACACAATTTTGGATTAAAGAAGGTTTATGTTCCTTAAATCGTATAATTTATATCGGCATTGCTGTAGTGTCAGTAATGTTACTGTAACGTATGCACTGCCAGTGGACTACTAGCCAGTGCATGTGGTGTCGGTACTGTGATTTTTGCTTAATTGGTTTGCAGGTGGCAGCTCTCTATTGCGGCAGCCTGCTAGGCTTGCGCTACCGTAATGGATGAGTGCCTTACCTATTCTGCTTTGCAGATAGTTGCTTGCTACTACACTTTTATTGATGGGAGCTTCCATCTTTAATCTGAAGACACTTAAACGTACGCGCCATCTCGTTGCGCAACTTTCATAAAGATCCAACGGAACATTCTTTTGAGAAGGCTTTCCTGATAACCATACCCTGTGCATTCACTGTTCCGAGCGTGTATGTGGAACACATTGGAACTCAACAGGTTATAACTAGAATCCACCATCCACCACAGAGTACCGCAGACGTGTAGATGAGCCGCTGTCGCTATGGCGCACTTGTTGTATTTCAAGTTGGTCGATTATTTACGTTTCATCGTTATTAATATATTAGCTAACAATTTTTATTAAACAAGGTATAATGACAAAAAATAAAAAGAAAACAACGTTAACAAAACGTTTAACATGTTTCATGTAATGTGTTAATTATTGTTTAATGTTGATTGATGTGTTTCTGAATGTTGTTTCTCGTTCGGTCATTTGTTACTACCGCAACCGAGTGTGGGGCATGGACGCGTTTTATTAAAAGATCCGTGTCCCGAGGGATCAGCTGGATGAATCGCGAGTGGCGCCACAGACAGCAAGCACACTTTCATCAATCAGAAGAGCAGGTGAGAAAGATGTCAGCTTGGTTTGCTAACTTCACCAGCCCCAACGCTGTAGCAACGGTTCACGCACTCATCACTCGGTCATTTGGCATTCGCTCATCACTGTCAGTCGAAGCAAAACTCTCTAGAACCAAATAATACCACCGGTAACATTATCTACAAAATCCTATAACTGTACTTCATGTCTAAAAAGTTATTTTACGGCGAGGCTGTGATGAAGACATATGAATAAATTTATGGGCCAGCAGATGTAACAGAATCAACTAGACGACCGCTTACTAGCCGTGCCTCGGCACTGACCATACGTCAGGCATTAATACTTATTGCGTCAATAATATACTTTGAGTGTCTCACGCTGATAACTGAATACCTTCAATACGTTTGTGAGACTATTCTGTGACAAGGACTATGGCTACACTTGTCATTCTTTTATTGAGCGCGCCGGAGAAAGCATTTGTCTAGAAAATTAAGTTTATGCAAATATCGAATTGCGGCATAGAAATAGTGCTGGGATGTGTTAGCGGAAAATAATGCATTTGCCCACCACTCTCGTTTCAAGAGTCATCTGCCATTGAGCGATCGTCGCACACGTCAACTAGCAGCAGCCTGTTTTGGCGGCAATGTTACGATGGTGCCACCGACCGCACGCCTCCATTCACACCTTAACCGCGCTTGCAGATCTACAGCCTACATCGGCTTCCTACGTGAATGTGTGGAAGCTCAGAGCAGAGCAGTGCTGTCTTTGATCCGGGTGAAGAGGAGCGATTGCCAGCGGGACACGTTATCCAGGACAGATGTCGCCGTCGCAGGCGACAGATAGTCTGCCGCAACGACTTTCAGGAGGATCCCGTTTTTGGAGTAGCGGCTAACTCTATATCCCTCTTCTCTCCTCTCCTCTCTCCCTTCTCCTCTCTCTCCTCTCTCTCTCTCTCTCTCTCTCATCTCTCCTCTCTCTCTCTCTCTCTCTCTCTCGCTCTCCTCTCCTCTCTCTCTCTCTTCTTCTCTCTTTCTTCTTTCCTCCTCCTTCTCCTCTCACATTCTCTCCTCTCCTCTCTCCTCTCTCCTCTCTCCTCTGTCCTCTCTCTCTCTCTTCTCTCCTCTCTCCCCTCTTCTCTCTCCTCTCTCCTCTCTCCTCCTCTCCTCTCTCCTCTCTCACTCTCTCATTTCTCCCCTCTTCTTCGCTCTTTCTCTCTCAATCTCTCCTCTCTCACGCATCTCTCCTTCTCTCTTCTCTCCTCTCTCCTCTCCCTCTCTCTTCTCTCTCATCTCCCTCTCTCCTCTCTCTCCTTTCTCTCCTCTCTCCTCTTCTCATCTCCTCCTCTCCTCATCCTCTTCTCTTCTCTCCTCCTCCTCTCATCTTCTCCTCTTCTCGCTCCTTTCTCTCTCCTCCTCCTCGTCTCCTCATCTTCCTCATCTCCTCTCGCTCGCTCCTTTCTCTCTCCTCTCTCCTACGCGTTCTCTACTATGTACAGCTGTTGTTGAAACTTGTTCTTGGAGTGCTCTTGTGATATAGTGAATGTCGGGGATATCGTTGTCGTGATCTGCAATGCTGTGTTAATAGTCCAGTTTACCTCGGCCCGTTAGCCGCGCGTGTCCTTTTTTGCCTATCACTGTGGCAGATCGTAATTTGTCCACAGTTTGAATAGCTGATGGCAAGTGTTTTAGTTTGCCAATAGAGGACAGTTAATTGATCACCACGGCAAATTAATCTCTCAGAGGTTCGTATGATTTTAAGCAGGTTCGCGGTGGGCAGCTTAATAGTGAATAAAATGATATTACATTTGAGTCTTCGGTTTGTGAGCTTGCATGCATACTAGTCACTAGTATTTTAACATTACTAATGTAATGTCAGTGATGTAAAAGCAAAAGGCAAAGATTCCAACATTCTTTACTGATGTGCAGATACCTTGTAATGTGAATGTAGCTGTGACCGTGTGATTGTGCAGGCAATCTTGGATGTGATTTTGCATGTAGTTTTTGAATGCAGCTTTTGTAAACACATACACACGAACTCGCGCACGCACGCACGCGCCACACACACACACACACACACACACACACACACACACACACACACACACACACACGTATATACAAATTTAACCACGTCAATGGTAGAAATCTGTGATATTGCAATATATGTGTGTCTTACTATTATTGTTGTATTGTGGCGACTAGTACATCTGAAATTATTTAATAAAAACATTATTTTCACTCAATTGTGCGCGCATGAGTATTCATTTTAAACGCTCCATAGTAAAATTACATGCGGCAAAAATTAAGTCATGACGGGAATTGATAATATATCTTTCATATGGTGAATATTTCTTTATGCCGCATCACATGTGCGCGACATTGTTTATGCATTTGCTTTAAGCATTATTAAAATAAATTGATTCAGGATCCTACTTCACCATTACCTAATGTGTGAATCATGCAAGCTTGTGGGCGAAATTTGTTTAAGTGACAAGGATACACCGCCTGATGGATATCACTCGATCACTTATTTCGAGGTATTATTTCTTGTCACTGATTTCGAGTTTATGTACATAAACATACAATTCTATCAGTCTGATTATACGTGTAGAAAGTAGCCAACGCAACCTGTCTGGGTCTCCACGAGGATTTACGTTGTGGATTTACGTTAGAGATATACTCCATTATCCACCCCTGATAATATTATACCGATAGCACCTTTGTCAAGAATGATAGGTTAGTGACCAAGACGCCTTCTATTTACTAAGGCAAACCTGTCGGAAGTATAATATTGCTTTGCATCACTTGAGAGCCTTGTATTTCTTATCGGCACTGTTTTTTCTAAATACGTTTCGATAGTTCGTCGTTTTTTAGTAGGCCTACCGTGCGAAAAACGTCGCGATGTGACGGCTGTTAGAAAACGGCTATGTCTATGTATAGGGGTATAAACAGTGCCGTGTCAACCGGGTGTCGACATTTCATTTCACCATGAACAGGAGAACCAACACCGTTCTGTTGCTAGCCGCGCTTTGCGTTTTATTGCTCGCGAAAGATGGACGTGGCAGCAGCAGCACGGTGACGATTGCCGCTTTTAACGTACAAATTTTCGGTGCGAGTTTCATGGAGGAACCTGAACACGTTGACAAGTTGGCGCAGGTAAGCGAATTCAACTCGCTTCGATATAGCAAATAGCTGGATTCTAAATTCAACCCCAGAATTAATGAAATTTAATCGAACTTTTTTTAGGCATCAGATTATTTTTTCTCCATTTCCTGACACATCGGATATAATACTGTTCCGCATTCGTCGTGCTAATTAATTTTTGATTGGTTAAAATCGCAGATAATCCTTCGCTACGATCTGATCCTGATACAGGAGATACGAGAGAAAGGCGAGGTGGCAGTCTACGAGCTAATGGCTATCGTGAACGAGTACGTGAGCATTTCGAGACCGTCTAATCTTTTGAATTATACTTCCTACAGACTGATAAATTTGATCGGTAGAATCAAAGAGAGAATCAAGTAGAATCAAATTTGCAATTTGTACGCGGTATTAGAAATGCCGTCGCATCGCTCTTTAATTAAAAAAAAGTATTAAGCCCGTGCGGCTTAATTGGGGCGTTAATTAATTTGGAGTCTATTTCTGGTTCGCTTGATAATTTGCGGCTGTTTACTTGTGTTCAGATTTGAGTTACGTTGTTTTAAAATCTGCCACAAATGTTCGAGAAATATTGTCAATATCCGCAATGAATTCATCATCGTTTAACGTCAATAATAATTAAGCTAATTATGCATAAGAGATTATTTTTACACTCGCGCAGGAAGTCAAAAGAAGCGTATGCATTAGCTCTCAGTGACCGCCTCGGAAGAACAGATTCTAAAGAACAATATGCGTTCATTTACCTGTGAGTATTTCTCTCATTAACTCTTTACCTGTATGTACCTGTTTTTATATCATATATATATTATATTATATTATATATTATATTGTTTATTTTACTATAATTCTAACTTCGTTGTAATATCATTACAATAATAATTCCTCTTTCACATGTTATATTATTGTTTATTTCTAGGAGAAGCAAGCTGTCTGTTAACAGCTTTTATCACTTTAACGACGTTGAGGATTATTTTGAAAGACCGCCTTACATTGTTCGCTTCGACAGCCCCTCTGTACAAGGTATTCCACGCGAAGCTAGCATATCATTACGTTGGAACGTTTGTTATAACGTATGCATACGCGTAAATGCGCGTGTTTGTGTATACGCGTCTTTGCATGCGCGTGCGCTCCTATGCGCGCATATCTATTTAACGACTTCGCAATCACGAAGAGAACAAAAATTAATATAAACAACAATCGACGGCAGATATGTTGTAAGATCGTCACCGATGATTATATTCAAACGCTTTCTTACTTTGGTGATGTAATTATGATGTTTTATTCATTAGATCTGTCATCGTTTTTATTCATACCGATACATGCGAAACCGTTGGATGCTGTTAAGGAGGTCGACCATCTAGTGGACGTTTACAACGATGCCGTGGCGCGGACAGGGCTAACTGTAAGATATATATATATATATATATACATTTACCTATTATTATATATCATTACTATATATTTACATTACGTAACATCTCGAGCTCTTGCTAACATCGCTTATATGATTTGCTTCACTTTTTTACACACAGGATGCGATTATTGCTGGAGATTTAAATGCCGGTTGTGATTACATCACGAAGAACGATTGGCCGAACATTAGGCTGTGGACTCAGCCAGAGTTCATGTGGCTCATCCATGATAATACGAGCACCATGGTGCTAAGTGACTGCCCTTACGATAGGTACAACTACAGGGAGTAATTAATAGTCGTATACTCAACACCTGATTTACCGCATTTTACACGAGAAGACTTTAAAAACTTGGTGAAATAGAGGTGGAGCTGTATTGTCTCCGTGGTTGCCTCAAATTTATGACATTCCAATTTATTTATTTGTATATTTATTCATTGGTTGCTTGTTTAGTTATTTGTTGTTTATTTGTTTATTTATTTATTGTTTATTTGTTGTTTATTTATTTATTTATTTAACGTAGAATTGTGCTGGCCGGAGCTGCTCTACAGAAGGCTCATGTTCCACTCAGTGCGAAACCTTTTCACTTTGATGAAGAGTACGGCATGACCATGGATGAGGTAAGACCGTAAGACTAATGATTACCTCTAGCTTCAAATAGTTAGTTTATTTTTTCTTACAACGCATACATCGCTAGAATTAACACTCACTGTAATATTATTCAGTTGATTTCGGTGGTTAATCGGTAGCTCGGTGAATTTGTGTTATTTACAATGGCTTGATGCGGTGTCGTTGCAAATGTTGTAAATGAGTTGTCGTAAATGAATATTACTGATATGACGCGGCCACCACAACACAACCGCTACATTGATCTCTACATTGTAGCAACCCTAAACCTAGTTATAGGCTAGATAGTATAATAGCGATCAATGTACCGCTAGCGCGTTTGTTTGTTCTATTGTTGTTTTTTGTTCGCATTGTTTTGTTTTTGTTATTGTTTTTTCTCACAGGCATCTAAACTGAGCGATCACTACCCGGTTGAGTTTCAACTCAAAGCCGCGTCCGAAAGTATAGTTGCCATGGCGACGCCACAGCGGGAGGAGTACAGGGTGATATTCACGGTGACGTCGGCGGGCGGTGTACAACACGCTGATGATCTGAGTGGCTTGAGAATAAGGCATGCGCAAATCACGTACTTCATATCTGAATCATAGCATTTATTATACTGGATTTTACTGGAAATTTTAACCAATTAAACTAATTAACAAATTTAACTAATTTTAACCATTTTAATTACTGGATATCATGAGAATTTAATGTGCTGGATGTGGGCGGGTTGTACGGACAAAGCTACGCTGATAGTAACTGCGCATTTGTAAAGTTTACTACTCCTCCTACATGCTTACATACTCTCTATTTAACGACTCTTGCAAACTGCTTTTAAGCGCGCTCCTGAGTTAGTCGGCTGGCCAGCCGTTCGCTCGTGTTTACGAAAAGTCTGACGTAAATATTAAAAGTTTTACTGACATCAGTACCTAAAACCATCCTGGACACGCTTCGGATCGCCGTGACTGGTTGGAATCTCGAATCGGATCGGAAAGTTAGAAGGAATTTGGTGACACGTCCGAATAATGATGTATTAATATTTGGCCTACACGGAAATATTTATATTATATGATTGATATATCGATTATATATTGATATATTGATTGATAATATCTATACCTATA